GCATACATGCCGATATTTAGATGCAGCTAGTTGATTTGCAGATAGTCAGGTAAGTAGATGTGTGCTTACTGGGATCTGCACCCACAAATATAGAGGCTGGGTTTCAAAATCAGGCCTTTTAAATGTTTAGGTGAATACCACTCTGCAAAGTTATTCATTGTAAAGGAGGAATATAGGAATGACCAGACTGGACCAGACTAGTAGTCAATCTAAATCAGTGTCCCTGACAGTGGCCAGTACCAAATGCATCAGAGGAAGGTGCCAAGAAAACCCCATTATGGATAATTATGGAATAGTCTACCAACAAGTAGGGTGACCAGATAGCAAGTGTGAAAAATTGGGGCGAGAGTAGAGGGTAATAGGTACCAATATAAGACAAAGCCCTGAATATCGGGACTGTCGCTATAAAATCAAGACATCTGGTCACCCTACCAACAAGGGAGTTTCTCCCTGATCTCCGGGAGTTGGTGGTTGAAGTAAATGTTTTTTGTTAATAAAAAGAATTCATTGTGCAATGCCTGTCTGGTCCAATGGGAGAGTTTTCACTGAAAGGTTATTAAGCTATGGGAGGCATCTACAGATGAATGTGTGTCACATTCCTGTTTCCTGTCCCTTTGTCAAGGTTCAACGGCCTCCGTGCAATCGCAGCCTGCTGACACCAGTTCTCTCCTGCAAATCCCTAAAGATCATTTTCACCACATAAGACCTCATGGCAATTTGGACTGGGAAAGCAAATCCAAGATCCCCCCAACTGTGCATTCTCCCTCTGCAGAGAGATTACTTCGTAGGCAGGTAAGCAGAGCTGTGACTGTGAACCTGCTGTAGTTCAAAACTGATGGGTTACTAAGCTTTATATCGCAATTTCATGAGATCTGTAACCCTCATCTAGCAATAATCTCCAAAAGATTGGTCAATTTTTGAAGAGAAACCCATTGAATGTTCTCTAAAGAGCCGTGTGATGGCTTACATCTCCTTTGGCAATAGGAAACGTTCTCCATTTGATTAATACTTTGTCCTTCCTAGCCTTTTCATTGATACAGCCAAGTGTTCCCTAGGGGTCATTGGAGTTCACTGAACTAGTTCCTAACAGCCACGGAATGCTTTCCCCAATCTTTGAGAGTGCACAGTGATTGCCGATAACCCTCCCCAATCAACTCTATGATTGCTGTAATTTCCTCTCGTAGGAAAGAGCCATCACTTTTGACAAGGAAATGTGTGTTTGGCTTTTATGTCTGAACAAGCCGAAGTGGGAAATGTACCTTTTCTAGAGCAGTGATATCAAGTTGAGTTACTTTCGTTTTTATCTAAGCTAAGAGTATTTTCCTTATGAGATTAGGAGAAAAAATTCAGACATGCCTAAGTGATTTAGGAAGCCAATGCTACATCTGCATTACAAGATGGGATGTGATTCCCCTGCCTGTGTACACATAATCATGCTAGCCTGAGTATAAACAGCAAGGTAGCCGTGCTAGGATGGTTAGCAGCAGTGGAGGCACAGCTGAGCCATGCCCAGGGCCGGCTCCAGGCACCAGCTGAGCAAGCTGGTGCTTGGGGCGGCAGATTGAACGAGGCGGCATTCCGCCCAATCCTAGGGCAGCATGGCCGCTTTTTTTTTTTTTTTTTTTTTTTGTTCCGCTCCGGCCGCCCTGTAGGGGGCGGCGGTGCGGAGGACGGGAGCGCCCTGCAGCAAGCCCGGCAGGGCAGTCCTCGTTCTTCCGTCCCCGCCGACCGAAGCAGAGCCCTCCCGGCAGGCGGCAGGCGGCAGGTGGCACGCGGCGTGGCGGGAGGGGCCGCATGGCAGCGCCCCGCTGTAGCCCTGGCCGCCCCTCTTCTCTCTGTCTCCTGCCCGCTCCCTCTCCCTGCCCCCCGCTAGCCGGTCCCCCTGCACCCACGCTCCGGCGCACAGATCACTGGGTTTTGTTTTTTGGTTTTTTTTGCTTTGCTGTTCTGGCCGCCCCGTTTTTTCTTTTTTTTTTTTTTTTTTGCTTGGGGCGGCCAAAAAGCCAGAGCTGGCCCTGGCCATGCCGAATACAAATCCACCTGAAACCAATGGGTATGAAATGCCTCCGCTGCTGCTACCCATGCTGCCTTTAGAAAACAGAAGATATTAAACTAACAAATATATACCTTAACAACAACTCTCCTGGGTTTTGAGGACAGTTATTCTTTGCCCCATATCAGTTTTCTTATTTCCAGTGATATAGGCCCTGATTCAGGCAAGTACTTAAACATGTGCTTAACTTTAAGCACGTTTAAGTCTGTCCCTGTTCAGTAAAACACTTAAGCGTCAAATTAAATACATGTTAAAAGTGTTTTGCTGAATCAGAGCCATATATTTGGCTAATTTTGTAGCTCATCTTTACCCAATAGTTAGTTTCCCGTGTGATTTTCTTTCTATATATAATATATATATAAAATATTGTGTGTGTGGGTGTGTATGTGTATATGTAAGTGTATATAAATAAATAAAATGCAGAGTGGATCATTTTTATTTTTCCCAGAATAATGTATTACTTGAATGAAATATATCCTCCTTTATTCAAATGATCTTCCTTTTTTACACTGAGAAAATAAGACAGTTAATTTATTGAGCCCTAAAAATGAATCGGAGGCACTAAGGTTAGCAGTTACATTAATCTGTAATATTAAACTGACAAGTTAAATTCCCAATGTGTATTAGACTGCACCAGGCCAGCCAGGCAGCCCAGTCGACACTAATGGGGAAACTAATTGATTTAATGTTTCCAATTCATGAATATCTTCCCTCAGCTTCTGATGGGTAACAGCCCCAACCTTTTGGCTGGTATTTCTAATATAAATTACTATGTTAGCCATCTTCTTTAACTCCATTTTCTTCATATTTTCCATAGTAGTTACTGCTGCATAAGACTACAGGATCATTCTTAATAGACTGTTGGTTTGCACTTTAAGAGCAAGAACTGCAGCTGCTATAAATCAGCACGGCTCAATTGATTTCAAGAGCTATGCCAGTTTACACCAGCTGAGGATCAGGCCTTAATGCCTTAAGTTTAACACACAGAACTCCAGGTAAAACCAGTGGGAGATGCAAACTTGTACAAGTGTGTAATCATACCCAGAATGTTCCCAATAGTCTATCCTATGTCACAACAGGTGAGATTTTCAAAAGGGTTTAGCACTGGCCTAATCTGCTCCCATTGAAATCAATGGGAATCCTACCATTCTCTTCAATGGGAACACAGACTAGAGTACGTCTACATTGCAGAAAAAGGTGTACTTAACTCGGACCAGCTAACTCAGGTTAAAATAGCAGTGAAGAAATGGCAACTTGGCTTTTAACTCAGTTTAACTCCCAGCTGTCAGATAAACATTGCAGTCTATGGTTTAAACACATTAATACAGAATTTCTAATTTGTGGTCCAAATAAGAGGCGAAACTCTATCAAGGTTCCAGATACATGTTAGTAATATAAACACACACTTTTGTGTGTGTGTGAACATATACCCACACTAACACATTTTTATATTATTATGTATATGTGTGCATATATATTTGTGTATGTAAACTTTCCTGCAAATACTTGCACGTGCTTAATTTGAAGTATAGGGGAAGACTTATTAAACTCAAAGGGACTACTCATGTGCTTACATCTTTGCAGGGTGTGTGTGTTGCATAAAGCTTTGGAGGATCAGGGTATGTGTATGTCCTGTAGTCTATGGGAGTTTTTCCCAGCAAAAAACAAACTGGTTGATATTTATAGACTAGTTCATAAAGTTTCATTTTAAAAAAGTAATTTTCAGCTGCTAGACAACAAAAGTGTTATTACAATTAATAGCCCATCTCTTCATCCTGGTATATTAAAGTGGGGCCAGCTGTATTTTTTCTTTTTCAAATATTGGAAAAAGGAAAATAAACAATCTCCCCAAGATGAGACATTTGCATGAAGAGCTATTAAAATGGATTTATAAACCCTTTAGCAAAGGGGCACACAGCACTATGGAACACAATGACTCTTGAAACTGGATAGGTAAAACTGCCATGTAAAGGTGCTGCTCCGAACCAATTTGCAGCTATGGGGAAAATAAGCCTGTATCTGACTCCCAACAGTGTAGGCAAAACATCCCCTGAGGAGCCTGAACTCACACTTCTAATAGGTGGAAATAATTACAGATGCTTCACTCTAGAGCAGTGGTTCCCAAACTGGGGTTCGTGAACCCCTGGGGGTTCGCGAAATGTTACGGGGGGTTCTCGAGGAAAAATTCCCTAATGGCGGACAGAGCTGTCCCTAGGGACCCTGAGCAGCATGGGGCCAGCAGCCTGGAGCCCTTGGACTTCCAAAAGCTAAGCAGATCAAAGCAAGCAGATCTATCACACTGAGGAGACTTCACCTCCCTTTCCATTTCTTATAAGGAGTCTTGAAGGTAGATATTTTTTGCTGTTTTTAAAATTAAATAGGCAGCTAGTATTGTTTTTAAAATTATTATGAAGAACAAGTTTAAGCTTTGTTGTAACGTGCGTTGTTTGCCTGGACTGCTCAAGACCTGAATGCTTGTGTAGGAGGAACTCTGAGTTGGCTTCTTAAATACCTTCATGCTGTTTCACATCTGATACTCCTTGATGAAACATAGGAGCCTTGTCTTATAACAGGCTTATTCAAAGTGATACAGGCTATGAAAGTGAGATCTTGGAAGAGTGTTGCCGTTTTCATAACGCAATAAAAATACTGTAATGATAAATAATAATTAATAATACATAGTAATAAGCATGTCACAAAAACAAACTTTATATTTCCAAGATCTTTTATAATTTATACTCAGGTAAAGGAGAAAATCCCTGGAAATATTCATTTTTAAGAGGGGGTTCACAAGACTTGACATTTTAGTGAAAGGGGTTCACAGGTTGTTAAAGTTTGGGAACCGCTGCTCTAGAGGTACAGTCATCCATTTCACATTAATAAAAATCATCTTACCAACAAGAATTTTCAAGTAATTCTATATCATATCAATGTATTCAATACCAGCCAATTCTTTGAGATTTGGGGACACTTAGCATTTTTAGGATCAAGGATTGGGCCCTTATTTATTTAATACCAGCAATGTCCTCAACCATATAATAGACAGTCCTTGCCCTGAAGATCTTATATAAAATCCCCCCCCCCCCCTTCTTCAGTCTCCAGTGGGTTTTGACCATTGGGGCGTGAGTGCTAAAAGCATGTGCCTGGCCAGCTTGAGCTAGAGCAGTGGCTGGCAGCAGTAACTGACTGCGTTCTTATGCAAACCAGTCCCTAGATAGGGCCAAAGATAGGCACTGTGCTAGTGTTGTTCAGATTTGCATGCTAAAAAAGATGAATGCATAGAGAACAGGGCACACTGGGAATGCAGAGGTAGGATAACTAAGCCCAGATACGGCAAACGCATATGGGTATGCTGGGGAGTAGCTCCATTGGACTCCGACTACTCATGTGAGTATGGGCCGGCAGGAGCAGGGCTTAGTGCATGAGGGGGGGTGTTTATATTTCATTAACAATGTTCCAAACTCCCTTCTTTTAGGGCTTCAGCTCATGGCCCAGCAAAGCACTTGGGCACAAAGTTAACTTCAAACATATGTGTAATCCCATTGATTTCAGCAGGACGATTTGTGTGCTTAAAATTAAGCCCTGATCCAGTGCCTAATGAAGTCCATGGAAGACCTCCCATTGACTTGAATGGGCTTTGAATTAACCCCTTCCTCATTTGCAGAAGTAAAAATAAGGCCAAACCTTGGGTAAAGTTTTGATGAGTGTTTTGGTTTGGGTTATCTAATCCTATATACTTTAGGGATACAACCTGAGAGTTGATATTCTTAAAGCATTAAAGTCCAAATTCTGCTCTAACTTGTACTGGTGTAAACCCAGAGTAACTCCAATGAAGTCATAGTGTTACTATAATATGTATTCTATGTTAGAATATAGAAGTCATTGGATTTTCTCTGCATTTGTGTTAGTGGTTTTTCAAAGCAGAGTTTGGCCCCAGGCATGACAACCTGCTTTGTTAACTTTGTGCCTTCCTTGTACTAACCTTTGTTTGGTGTGTCTCTCTTATCTGACAACTATCCTCGTCCCCAATGCCTTGGCACTCTGCTACAGGTGGCAATAAGGAATGACTCCTTGGACATGTATTGCTCTGAAAGCAAAGAGAATTTGCATGCTGAGGTGAATGAACTCTCTGATACAAATGTGCCAGCTGGATCCACAGAGGACCCGTCAGAAGCAAGTGAATCGGCCTGCTGGGGCCGATCAAGTGTTCGCACTCAGCATTCCCACAATCGGTATAATATATCCAAGCACACACCAGCTTTGTGTGCATGTACAGGCTCATATCAAGAGACACTTAGAGACTCGATGGACCAAGAAGTATCTGAAATAAACAGCTCTTTGGAGCCTTTCACTTCAGGAACTTGTACAGCCTTGAGTGCCTGTTCAGTGGTTCCACCTCTAACTCCTAAGAGGAACATAGGCAATAGCAGCAATGTTACTTTGAAGGACCTGAAGAAATACTACAGTGTAGATACCCAGGGTCTTCTCAGAAAACCGTCATCTTGGTTAGATGATCAAAGGAGACATTCAATAGAAATTTGTTCCATGCAAAACAGCCCTCAGCACCATTCCACATCTAGCTCTTCTGGCTTCATAAGTCAGGTCTTAAGTGAAATGGAAGGCTTGCAAGGAGCCCGGCAGAAGAAAAAACTGAGCCCCCCGTGTATATCTATAGATCCACCAGATGGACAAAGTTTGTTACCTAGAGGATCTCATGGTATTTCACCTCCCAGTGCAGACATTTGCTTGCGAAGGCGTGCGCCATCTTGTGATTCCAAGGACTCAATGGATATAGGAGATTCGCTGCTTCCAGACAGTATGTCAACATCTCCTACCCCAAAGACAGACTTGTTGACACTTCCTAGTTTTTCCTTTGATCGAGCAGAAATGGACCCCTGAATGATATTTCTGTTGGTGCCAAATGTTTTCTTCCTTTCGTGTAATAAAAAAAATACAAATTAAAAACAAACAAAAAAACCCTCTGTATTTTCAAATGGCACTGAGTAAAAATTTCCAAAGAAAGTTGAAAGAACCAGCTGGTTAAAGAGTGGTTAATCTATATCACGCTTACTTAAGCATATGTTCTGCTTAGGTAAAAGCAATACATTGTGCAGAATCTATATGTATATTATATTTTATTAAATTAATTGACTCTAGTATTGCGGGATGTAGTACATTTTGTGACTAAAATCTTGTTTAATTTTCTTCTATTTTATGTATCTCAGAATATTTCTGAGATAAGGTTTGGGTTTTATGGACATTTTAACATAAAATACATATTTAATCCTTTTTTGTTTTGGTTTGGTTTGGTTTTTTTTGCAAAGCACAGGGTATAGCCAATTAGTGCATTACAGAGGAAATATATTCCACAGTCAACAAGGAAGGAGAATAATTTTGAACTGTAATGTAACCCCTCCCCCCCTTAAACTTAATAGTTTTCTGTGGAAAATAGTCATTTGAATATTTTACAAATGCAATGGAATTCTTTTTAATAATCGAATAATTTTCCAAACTAAAGTTAAATCACCCATCAGAGTCAAAACAGATGCATGAAGATTTCTAATGTAAAGAGAATTTAACTGCATACTAGCATGACACAATATTGGTTTATAAAAAGGTATTACATATATTGCTGCTGATTAAAATGGTGGTTCTTAAAAACTTGTCAATGGATGCAATTTTCAAAAGCACCCAAGTGTTTTAGACACATAATCCCATGGGCACTTTTTACAATTTTACCCAATATCTTTAGATACCTAGAACCCAATCCTGAGCTCTCCTGTCAGCAGTTTTACACTAGTCTAAGTCCATTGAGTTCAATGGAGTTACTCCTACTTGCACCTATGAGAGAGGAGAATCAGACCCCTAAGTAAGATCTGCAGTTAGCTAAACTCCATATAGCCCTGATCCAGGAAAGCATTTAAGCATGTTCTTATGATCATCCCTGTCCAGCAAAGCACTTAAGCCTAGATTTTTGAATTATTTAGGAATTGTTGCACTGCAATGCCTAACTGATTTAAGAGCCTAAATTTCATTTTCAAAGTGATTTAGGCACTTAGGAGCTAAATACTATCAACTGCCCATGGGATTTTGGCTCCTAAGTGCCCAAATCTCTTTTAAAAATGAGATGTAGGCTCCTAAATCGGTTAGGCATTGCAATGCTGTGCACAGCAACGCCCAAACACCTTTAAAAATCTGGGCCTGAAGCATGAGCTTAATTTTAAGCATGTGTTTAAGTCTCATTGAAGTCAATAGGATTTAGGTGCTTAAAGATAAGCATATGCTTACGTGCTTTCCTGAATAAGAATGCTTTGCAGAATCAAAATGACCTAGCTGAAGGTCATTACCAAATAGAGTAGGGAAGCCTGCAATACAACAACTATTTATCTTAGGTAAAACAGACAAGTTTTTCAGTGCCACAACTGGGAGCTAATTTGTAAGGCCCTACTTTCAATTTCCTTCCAACCTGGAAAGGCTTTAACCAGAAATTCTTTCAAATTGTGTTATGAGAATAAATTATGATAGAATTTTTACCAAATGTTTATAACGTCCTTAATGTCAATCATCTCCAAAATTCATGGGCTAAACTCTGTGCTAACACCCCATGCAAAACTCTGTTTGTAAAATCAAAGTCAGAGAGAGAACGCAGAATATGAAGCACTGCAGAATTTGGCCCAATAGGCCCAATCCTGCTCTCAGCTACTCCGGTGTGAATCTGAAGCGAACTTCATTGAGCCTCAGTAGAGTCGACTTCAGATTGAGGCTCCTTAAAGACTAATCCACATTTCATTTCAAGTATGGGAGTAGTCCCAATTAAGTTAATGAGACTACTACCATGCTTAAAGTCAAGCACATGCATAAACCTTTACAGGATTTTGCAGATTTAGCCTTACACCCGTGTAATTAAGAGACGGATTTGAGGTAGTTTAATTCAAAATGACTAGTTCTCTTATTCAGGAGATTGAAATTCTTTGAGCGCCACTGATTTTTTTTCAAACTCCTAGGAAACCTTGGTTCCAAATCCTTTGGTGGGCTCAGAGATTCTCCCAGTGTTCCTTTTTGTATCGAGATTAGCTTCAAATAAATATACACAAGGAAGATGCCCAATATTTAATAGATCTATATGAAGATTTAAGATACTTTTATTTTCACTTGAGGAAGTTTACTTTCCTAAACAATCATCATTGATTTTGCAAGTCCTGTACAAAAGCCAGGGATTATACAGCAGGAAGTAATCAATTTATTTTAAAGATTAACATTCTGTACTGTTTCTTCCAAATAAATTATTTCTTGGCTAGGATGGTGGGCTGCTTTTTTTTTTTTAACCCTGCTCAAGAGTCCTAATATGTGCCCTCCCACAGAGCATTCTCTCTCATAATCCGAGTCCAAATCCAAAATTAAACCCAAATCGTTACAAACAGACCTTTCATCAGTGCTTCACCCAGATCCCATTTAAGGAAATAATAAAATTAGTGCATTAAGCCTGAGAAATATTCTTAATCCCTTTTTGGTGTTACATGCCTAATGAGTTTTAGACTTTCCTTTTGAGCATACCAAATAATCCAGCAAAATGGTTGGGCCACTAAAATTACTGTACCCAAATTTGCTAAATGACTAGCAATGTGTTTCTGTAGCTGGAGTGGAGCTGCATAGTAAGAGGTCTACACAACACAGTACCTTCCTGGTAATATAACATGCAATATGTTAGCCTGAAATCATGGTGCAAGAAGGCGAGGTAATGTCAATCCATGCTCACAGCTCCAGCTGTAACAGGAAGCCTAACAACTGTCTAACTTAAAAACTGTTCTATTTTCAGTACTTGGGGTTTTGCCTACTGACAAGGGTTGTGTGAATAACAATAAAACAAAGTTTACATCATACATTCATGTTCAATAAAGACCAATCAATAGAAACATACTGTACGAAGATGCATTCAGGAAAAAAAATGCATGTAAAATCGTTTGTTTTCTAACTGATAAGAGTTTTTTTTCTAGGTGCCCTTTTGAAAAACAAATATATGTACTACAGTGTGTGCAATAATCTTAAAATCATTTTAAATACCTTTGGGGGGTTTTATAGAAGTTGACTTTTTTTTAAATAAAAATGTAAAAAATCCACGGGAATTCTGTAGAATGGTTGATTGAATTTTTATATTTTTGTAGAAATCTGCAGAGAAATTGTTAAAAGTGTGCATAGCATCTTGGAAGGAGAAGCAGCTATGTCTGATATTTTCTTTTAATAAATTTGGGGCCAGACCTAGTATATTCCAAGATTTATAACCTAGTTCCAAAGACCGCATAAAGGTAATGGTTAGAAGTGAGTAGCTAAGCTAAAGTTCTAGGATGTTGCAGTGCCTCACTGCTAAAGAACTGTACTGGTATAAAACATGTCCACCCTGAGAAGTCAGCCAGCCCTGATGCTAATGCACAGTCCCGTGGCTCTCCAGTTCATTCAAAGCACACCAGCACTTTAATATTGTGGATTTACTGTAAACAGATGGGAATAGAATATTCTGCTATTGCCAGTCTTACGTGTGAGAGGAAAAGAGATGGTGATCGTGTCTGGAAAAATGTAAATTCCATAGTTGCAGCCATTGCACATAACTATTCATAGACAGATTACAGGTTATTTAAACTGTAAATAATTTGGAGGAAGGGGAAAAAACACTGTTTTTGGCTTCTGTAGATTGCACTCAACACAAGGTTTGGTGTAAGGCACAAAGAAATAAAAAAGATTTAATGTTGTAAATTAGGCTATGCCCTGGTCCCCCTTTTCTGCCCCCTTGACTATAATAATCCATGTACACTATTACACGAGATGACTAGAGTAGGCACAGTACCATTGCAATGTCCGTAACAATCTAGCATATATGATAGAACTTTGTATTTAATACTTAATATATTGTTATACTGTATCAGGCATATAGACCAAAAACTCGGTCTTTGATCAGGGCAACAAAAGATGGTATTAAAGGGGAAAATTGGGTTAAAATGTTCTCTCTTTTTTAAAAACAAAAATGAGTGTAAATCTTTACAAATGACAAAAACAAATGTGTCCTATTAAAAGCTTTTGAAAAGAAAAATGCGCACTTCACTTCTTTTGTTGTTGATGATGCTAATCTATTTATCATTCAGACTGCTCGAAACTTTGATCTGCCCAAGTTCTAATTGTAAACATGACGGAGGGGACATTGTATAACTTAGCTGAAGCAGACTGGCAGGGTTAAAGAATGGTTAGCAAATGTCAATCCTTTGTGAAGTGATTGGCGTTACCCCAAAGATGAGTTTGGCCCAGCATGTCGCCAAGGGTGTGTTGCTTTGCTATAAACAAGGTAGTCATTGCACGTTAGCAGTTGCATTAGATGGGGACTGAATGCAGTTTGGCTAGCAGCTGTATAATAAAAAATCCACAAGGAAAGGGAAAGGACTTTTTCTGGAGCTTTCTGGTAATAAGCACTTCAGTAAAGGCTGTCAGTGGCAGACAGGAGAAAGAGATGGAGTTGATCTGTGCCCTGAAATCTTCTTTTGCTGTTAACAAGGAAGCTTTGGAATTCTCTCTGAGTTACTAACCCTGGTTTGGTTACCTGAAGCATTCTCTGCTGCCCTGCAACTCATGCAGTCATTTATACCAGTGCACGCTGAGTGCAATTGGGATGTAAAATGCTACCGGTCTGATTTGGTGGTAGCCTTTTGCACCCAGTGAAAATGACTGTACTAGTTGCAAAGCAATGGAGAATCAGAACTTATATGTTAAACTGTTGTTGTTGTTTTTTACAGGTCATCAGCAAGCAGGATTTGAACCCTTTACCTTCAGCACAGATCTCCATGAATTTAGTGGCTAGGAGTAGCAGCTGCTTATCTTTTGAATACCACCTCGGGGAGAGGGTACACAGCAAACTCAATCACTGTGTTATACTTAGTCAAGTGTATTTCTTGTGTTTGATTTGCTTGGTTGGCATCATCGAGGTAAGTGCACTCAAACCTAAAAGGGGCCCTGCTCCAACTGAGTATCTGCCCACCACAGGGTGTTCAGATCCAGGGCTTTGGTTCAGGTTCCTCTCCACATTGAAAATGATGACCTAACCGCTGATGTTATAATATTCCTATAGGGTGAATGTTACCCTGTGTAAAGGACTGGGGCAAGGCTGTGCACCCCA